TACGTGGTCATAAGGAGAGGGCAGGTGAGTGTATCCACTGTGTACCCCTGAGTAACCTGTGCTCTCATAGGATCTAAAATTTTTAACATCAACTAGTCATTTTCATGAGTTGTATGCTGATTCTCATGTTTTCGAACAGGGCCCTATGATTCACGACACCCAGAAATATGGAAGCTTAGTTGCCGATGGGCTCGTTGGTGCTGTCGGACGTGAAGTCGCTGAAAAAGCTCCGCTGGACGGGGGAATAGGAAATAGTAAACGCAGAAGCCAAGCCAAAGAGAAGGGGAGAGACAGACGTGGTCGTCAGGTTCTAGAGGTTGGAGCCGATGGGGTATGGTCGGGATTGATGGGTGGTGGGGCTATGAAGCACGAAGCAGGTGGTGACCGAAATGACCCGAGTCAAACTCAAGAACCGGCCGGGCCTACCGGGAAGGTATCCGAAGAAGAGGCAATACACAGTGCAATTGGAGCATGGCCTCGAATAATTTACCCTCCAATGAAACGAAGTGGTCATGTCATCATGGACACATGTACGAACGAAGGTATGTTAGGTTTGAGCGCTCGATCACACCCTATTGTCCGACCCATATTTTCTTTGGAACATGTTGCTCTCTACCATGACTCGTTGCTGTTTTTGACGCCCATTTATCACCTCGGTCATGATTCCGTTCGCCTATCACGAAATCACTTCACGTATACATACTAACATTGCTTGCTCGGCCCATCGATTGATCAACTTGGGACCCTGCCTCGCTGATCGTTGTTTTTGACCATGATTTTTTGGGCCTTACAGGTTCGATCGCGCGCATAACCATTCCCCGTTCCCAAGGCAAACAAGCGTACTACGATGCTCGAAAAGCGAATTGGGGGGACGCTTTTCCTCACCCGCCCCGCATCACACCTTTAATCCGCACGCGCGGTATTCGTAGGCTGGGTCCTGCGCATGCTACCACCGCCGAAGGATCGCAAGTCGAGTCAAAGCCCTCGGAACTAGACGACCCGCGGAGCGACGATGGTATCGAGGGGGATCGCATAGACGCACTCGAAATGGAGCCGGGCACGGAGTCCTCCCGGAGAAAAGTAAAGGACAAGGCAAAACGTAAAGGTCTACGAGAGACCCGACGTCGAGCCGCCCACACCGATTTAACTCGCCCAAGTACGGGGATAGACGACTGGATTAATAGGGAGGCTAGCGAACTCGCCACTCGGATTCAGGCCGAGATGGGAAGA